ATAAAAAACCGACCGAAACTGACCGAAACCGATATTCAAAAAAACCGACCGAAACCGACTTTATACTATGACGGTTCGGTCGGTTATATCTCAAAAATTTTTAATCGGTTTTTCTTCAAAATCGACCAAAAACCGACCGAACCGACCGCTGCTCACCCCTAGGTTCTTCATTAAGTCTCACCATTGGGGATTTATTCCAAAACTTTTTGGTTCTTGAGGCTATTGTAAACGGAACCAACTTGGGATAAAATAAGTTCAGCATAAAGCACAGGGCATAATTTGATTGCAAGAAATAAAATAAATTTCCTAGCCCTGACGTCATAATTTCTGTACTTATCCGGATGCAGCATGAATTTGTTGCCTAAATCTAAATACTCAATTAAAAAATGTACTCCATGGATATACTTTGTCCACTATCCTCACATTGATTGGTTTTGAAAAATTAATGCTGCAGCAACTTAAACATAGGATGAATAAGCATATGTATTTTGGTAATTCTTTTACTTGATGAATGGGTATGTGAGTAAATCTGCTTCACACATGAAGTTGGCGAGTTTTGAGGTTGATGAAGGTCACTGTACAAGATGATTTTTTTTCTTTCCAGGCACTGTGGTGCATCATAGGTCATATATTCTCTCTTAAAATTGTGCTAACCATCCTAGATGTTGTTGCTTGACAGGTTCAAGGAACCTGGAGGTGGATGCTCGGTGTTTCTGCGGTGCCAGCAGTCATTCAGTTCGCCCTTATGCTTTGTCTGCCCGAATCTCCTAGATGGCTTTTTATGAAGGTAGGAGCACGTACCTTATTTTATTATGAATTTCCTTATAAATTTCTTTTCCATTTTGACTTCTTGTTTTCCCCTCATTTTAAACATATTGTTTATGTTGTCTTGATTGTGCAGAATGATGAAGCTCAAGCTATAACTGTACTTTCTAAAATATATGACCTTGCACGGCTAGAGGATGAAATTGATCACCTATCTGCTTCTTTAGAGGAAGAACGCCAGAAAAAGAATACTGTTAAGTACATGGATGTTTTCAAATCAAAAGAAATGAGACTTGCCTTTCTGGCTGGTGCGGGACTTCAGGTAAGAATGGTAAAACAGAGCACCCTCATCCACCTAAAATCTGGGGTTGTCCTTGTTCTTACAAAAACCATGTCAGATCAGCATAAAGGTTCTCTTTTTCCGTTTTATTTTGTGGTTATTGGAACAAAAACCAGTGACTGTAGCAGTGTTTGGTGTTGCATATTGGTTTTGAATGTTTGTTGGACAAAGCTTTTGGTTTTTAATTTTTGTCAGAAATCACCATGAAAATTAATAACATTAGTGCTAGTAAACAGGGAAATTGTACTTGTTTAGTTTGCCATGCAGTGCAAGATTATGAGTTACTTGGAACTGTGACTTTACAGGCACTTCAGCAGTTCACTGGCATCAATACAGTTATGTACTACAGCCCAACAATAGTCCAGATGGCTGGATTTACTTCTAATCAGCTGGCACTTCTTCTATCTCTCATTGTTGCTGCAATGAATGCAGCAGGAACTGTTCTGGGCATTTACCTTATTGATCACGTCGGAAGAAAAAAATTGGCCCTTTCAAGCTTATCAGGTGTAATCATATCGCTTCTCGTCCTTTCCGGGGCCTTCTTTGCTCAATCATCTGGTTCTTCAAGTGGACTTTTTGGATGGGCCGCAGTCTTGGGGTTAGCCCTTTACATTGCATTCTTCTCACCTGGAATGGGACCTGTGCCATGGACCGTCAACTCAGAGATATATCCTGAACAATACCGAGGGATATGCGGGGGCATGTCTGCTACCGTGAATTGGGTTTCGAACTTGATTATTGCCCAGACTTTCCTTTCAGTTGCTGAGGCTGCAGGAACTGCCTGTACATTCTTGATTCTTGCTGGCATAGCCGTGCTTGCTGTTGTTTTCATTATCATGTTTGTGCCTGAGACCAAAGGATTGACATTTGTGGAAGTGGACCAGATATGGAAGGAGAGGGCTTGGGGCAGCAGTTATAACATTGAGAGCCTTCTTGAGCAGGAAAACCAATCCTAAGTGATCTTGGGACTTGTTTAGCTTAGTGGTGTTGGCATAAAGACACAAGATGATTTGTTCTAGCGTCTATATATTCAACAGGCATATGAAGTCTTGTGCATGAAAATGATATAGGTCATAGGACTCTCTTCTTTCATATTTCACATTCAGGGTTGGGAGCCCGTGGATGGCCATGAGCTTGTATTTTCTAGCTGTGTATATAATGGTGGAAGATGTACTACGGCAGTGTCTAAGGGGTGTTTTTTTTTTTTTTAAATGATGCCCCTTATCAAAGGCAGGTTCCCATCTGTGTACTTGCTTCCTCTTATCATCACTGAAAATCCTAATTTCTGTTGGAAATTGCAATACTTGATGCATGGTGTCTACTTGAGCCCATCAAAGCAACCATGCTGATTTAGTCTTATATTCCTAGAACAATTTCTTCCTCCGTCAGGGGTGATCAATCCTCGAGGATGCTTGGAACGACAGCATAAACCTGAGCCTAAGTTACCTGAGATCCTGTCCCTATTCAGCAATTGGACTATGAAGATGGTTCAGACATGAATGCTGTTGCCCATGAGATGAGCAATGTGTGAATATGACCCATCTTGAAAATCAAGGCACTAGGCATTCACATGGACCGACCAAGAAAATCAAATGCCAGCAGCAATCACATGATCAAAATACAATATCTCTTTGCCCCTGGAACCTGATTGCTTATGATTGGTCAGCAATTTCTCTGGGTCGGATATGAAAGTTATTTAATTGTAACTAAACTCATTATATATAAAAAAACATTAATAAGGATGGCAAAAATAAGATAATCGAATTGTTCAATCAGTTCACATGTGATTTCAAAAAGTCTTTGAGCTTTGCTTGGTTACCAGCAAATATGAATATATGGTCACGATTAACACGATTCTCATATTAAATCACAGAAGTCTTTCAACACTTTAATATCTCAAAAAAGTCTTAAAAAGAAGAAAAATTGATTAGTCCATACTAGCATTAGAAAACAATTGAGTCATTATCCATCTCCATTTACTAAATCTCCAAACCAATCATCAAAGTCATACCACAAAACAGTTAAACGCATCATGAGTTGAAGCTTGATGTGTCCATGATGGTGAGGTTGTATAAATCTTGTTTGCCTTTTTTTAAATAAATGCATTCATCATACATACTTTCTAGTTCTACTTTCTTTTGTCGCTTTTAGCCAACTGTTAAAAAAGCCAAGTTTTAGCATATAGTTTTTGGAAGAAAATTCACTCACAAATAAAAATAATTAATATTATATAGTCAATGAGGTCCAGCAAAAGGACACGAATGAATGTGATGTTAGCTAAACGACCAAATCTAATTGCACATCAAATCTTTTATATTTCTCAACCACTCCTTCATTTCCTCATTACCAATCACATAAAATAATTGACATGAAAGATGAGATTCTCCTACATTTCATTTCATACATACATACATATATAGCCCCTACACGCTTATTTATGTAACAAGGAAAATTACTAATTGTGTAGTTAGATCTAAGATCTATATGTATAGCTATAGTAACATTTAGTAATTAAATACTAGTAATATAAGAAAAAAGTTCAAACAATCAAAAAGCTCCAATAATTTAGCATACCAAATATAGTTGTCACATAAAAATAATGAAAAGTTTGCTTTTTTTTGCCAAGTGGCAGCATATGATTGGGGAGACCATGTGGGCCAAATTGTCATCAAGAATGTGTATGATGTTGCCGGCCGTGGGCATACATAACATCACGCATTAACATTAACATATATGTTGTACATCATACTCTAACCATTGCGTGATGCAAACAATGCGTTGCTGTCGGGAAATTAGGACAGGAACCCACTGACCCCACATCTCTTTTTGCGGAGCAGTGTCTTTAATTTGTCAGTTTTGCTCTGCAAGCAAGAACGCTGACTCGTGTTTCCCCGCGCAATTATTGAGTGAGACAGACAGGCAACGTGGGTTGTTGGCCTGTTATTGTCTTCCACCGGGGAGCCGGACCCAATCAGATGTTCACACGTGGCGGAAGGGATTATGCTGTGCATGTAGCGGCACGTGCCTGAATGTAATCAGATTCAGTCATCCAGATTAAAGATGAAACGATGGCCATACCATGCCGTTGGCTTTTGCACAGACAGTACGACTACTTGTCGACGTGGATAAAGATAAGTTGGGACCCACATTGAATTATTGCTAAACCATAAGGCTCGGGCCGGCTTACAACAAGTCAGTATTACTAGAAACCGATACAACACCATTAATAATAGGATAATACTTTCTTCCTTTTAAAATATTTATTTTTTATTTTTATAAAAATTGAATATAAATTTTATATTAATATTATAATATAAATATTTAATACTTTTTAATATAAACATAAAAATATTAAATATCTGAAAAAAATACACGTTGAAATAAAAATTAAATAAATATACAAAATTGTTGGAGTTTTATAAACAATGAATAATATTCAATTTTTGGAGTTTTGCAAGAGGAAAAATAGAAAAAGACTGGATTACTATCTACTGATATTAAAACGTTAAGAAATGTTTAATCATGCAAATAATTAATTAATGCCATATTTAATTTCCATGAATAAAATATATAATTATGTTGTAGCATATATATCAAAATTTTACGTGAACATGTACATGCATGCAATGGAATTGCATGTATGTTTCCATGCAGCAGCATTCTAAATCGAAAGTAATTGTGTTTTCCTTGAGAATCAAGATAGAGAAAAAAACTAAGTACATACATAGACTCTACTTCCACCAAGCTGATCTTTAAACCATTGTCTTCCTCTTCCATTGGCCATTGTTTTGGCTTGATCAAGAAAATCGACATGCTTCGCACCAAGACAAAGGGCTTATATTTCATGTCTCTCATGAGTCAGAACCCAAACTTATCTAAAAATATTAAGTTTTTTTTCTTAAAAAATGTTCTAAGTATTTTGGAATGGGATGGTTGGTCGAGTTCTTCCTCATCCTTCCACAAACCACAGGATCTTGATCCCAGACGTCGTCGCCCTCGATAAATTTCCATTATCTTTTTCTTTGTGGAAAGCAATTTTGGCTGGATTTTTGCACAGAAAGTAACTTGTCTTGATGTGCCCATTTACACATTTTTCTTTTTGTATTTTTGTTTTTTCTGCTGGACTGGACCACTCACCTTCTTTGCTCTACCTGTTAGGTTAGCAGATAGATTTATTTACTTCACTTCAATTTTTTTTCCATATAAAATATACTTAATTTTAAATTTTGAATCGTTTAGAAGTATGAAGAACATATATCATTGATTTTGATTCATATGTTCACACATATATATATAACCCGCTTGTAATGATACAAATTCTTCTGATTTTGGTTTCGAATTAAACTATACTCCTCCTTTTGTGTTAAAAAAAATGGAGTTGAATACACTTTTGTCAACACATGAATTATTAATTAGTAAATAAAGCCAAATAGTTTTCGTTTTTGTTTCTAAAGACCGACTAGTTAATGGTAAACGGCAATGATTGACCACGTGGAAGAGTCTTGTTTATTAATAAAATTCTAAAGTTCACATTAAATAATATAAAGATGCAAAGATAAAATATGATTTCCAAAGATTAGGGTAATCTTTATTCATTGCGTCATGCATCAAGATAGCTAATGTTCCAAGCAATTATTCAATGCCTCATTAGTATTAACTTAATTCAAACAATAATATCAGCAAGGTTGTTTCTGACATCTTATTACGTATTATTTACAACAAAATCGAATGTCAAAAATTACAATAACAAAGCTTGAGAGAAGTATATATCGAACTCAAAAGGGATAAATTTAAATAAATAAATAATAATTAACCTGTTAATTAATCACCTTAGGCAAGGTGATATATTTTTTTCATTAAAAAAATCATTATTTTTAATTCTGTTTAATGTCGTGATTTTTTAAAATTTCAATTTTGGGGTAGGTTTTTGGGAATTAGGAATCCAATTTTACCAAAAAAAATAAAAGGTAAAAAAAAGTCAAAATTGAAAAAAAAATTGGAAAAGGTGGCAGAAATTTGAATATTGAAATCGCGGTGGCGTTCACATTTCCAAATAAGAACAAAGGTGAAGTAGTGATGAGCACACATGGTGGGGCCCTCCCTCTAGTGACCACGTGTCCCCTTCCGATTCTGTCACTCTCTGCTACAGCTGGCTGTGGACACGTAATCCTTTTGTGCACCACATCATCTTTCCATCTTTCAAATTCATGTTTACATTATGATAAATGACACCATCATGATCCACATGCATCGTGCACATACATACATATACAATTTTTTTTGGTATTATATAGTAAATAGTAATTTAAAGAGGATGACAGAGAGAAAGACAGAGAAAGTGCGCAAATCTTGGTTGGAGGCAGCTTTATAAGCGCTGAGGCTCTCTACTCCAAAACAAACGAGCGCTGTGAAAAACTATTCCAGTGAAAACAAAGGAAGGGAAACAAACATGGTGGGAGCTTCATCTCAAACAGAATCATGGGTTTCCATCAGGAACTCAATCTACCAAGACCAAGAAGAGGAGACGACGACGGCAGCCGCGGAGAGCTTCGTCGATCAGGAACGTCGAGATTGGACAAAGATCAGTCAAGACGACGACGACGACGACGACAGCAGCAGCAACAACGAAGATAAGATCGGCAAGAAGAAGAAGAAGAATCAGGTGTTGCTGGAGGGGTACGTGGAGGCGTTGGATAAGGAGGATGATTTGACGAGGACAAAGAGCTTGACCGACGAAGATCTCGACGAACTGAAAGGGTGTTTGGATCTGGGGTTCGGATTCAGCTACGAGGAAATTCCTGAGCTTTGCAACACCCTGCCTGCGCTGGAGCTATGTTACTCTATGTCTCAGAAATACTTGGACGAGCACCAGAAGTCCTCTGATCCATCTCCAGACACCACCGCCGAAACCGTCTCCAGCCCCATCGCCAATTGGAAGATCTCCAGTCCTGGTCAGTTATTTTTCTTTTCTAAGTTCCTTATTATGCTTCAGCCCATTTTCCATTAGAACTTATTGTACACCATTTTTATTGGGATGCTGCGTTTTCCTTTGCCATTGTTTTGAAGTGAGTTGTTTTGGTTTGAGAGTGTTCTGGCATGCGTTGTAGTATATGAAATGGAGATCTAAGTTGTTTGCGTTTTCATGTTTTGCATTGATTTTGAGAAATCCCTGACCCTAATTTAATCACACCTGCTTAAAGTTTTGTACAAATCTTTTCAGAAAAAAAGGTAGAAACATGATGCAACTTGTTCTGGTACTCGGAAATTTCGTGCATGTAGTCCGTGCAAACCGTGTCTAGATGCCTTCTTTTCAGGACAAAAAAACAAAAACTACGGGTTTTAACCTTCAGTTTCTGATTTTGTGCATACAGGTGACCATCCAGAAGATGTTAAAGCAAGGCTCAAATTCTGGGCACAGGCTGTGGCTTGCACTGTTAAATTATGCAGCTAAAAGATTCATTGCAGAGAATGGATCGATATTTCTCAATCATAAGTATCAACAGCCCGAACCCTTCATGCAGAGCTTGTGCTCTGCTGTTCCATGTCTGGTGGGAATGAAATTTCCTGCAATTATTGGGAACGGACCTGCCAAAACTTTTTAATATGGACCTGCTGCAAGGAGTAGGAGAAGAAGATAGGGACGAGAAAGACGTTTCAGGTTTGAGATTAACCGAATGCTCGTATGAGTCTGACTTAATTCTGCGGAGACTAAGATATCTAATTACATTATTGTATCCAGTGCATTGAAAATAATTTAAGCTATGAATCAATGAAATCTTCTTATGTTGGCCTCTTCTAACTGTTACTATGCTTCGTGTTTGACCTCTCAATGAAGTCCAACCTTGTGTTGGTTTGTATGCAGTGGTGAGAGCCTCCAGTAGAGCTTCACCAACTAGTTGCAGACCTCTGCATTTGCTGAGGTAACTAATCTAACTGCGTTGATTAACTATACGTGATTCCTCTTACCTATGCTCTGATTGTTATGGTGGTAACTACTGAATGTGACAGCATCTGAGTACCATAATGCTCGACTTTGCTAACAATGGACTGACTTTGTGTTTATCCATTTTATGGATAGATGATTACTCACTTTACTGGTATGGGCGGAAGCAGTTGAGAATGAGGAGAAAAACAAGTGGAGGAGAAGGAAGGGCAAAGCATACATCTCTTCCAAAATTTCAATCAATCACAGAAATCTCTTCTCATGTTCATCGCTTGTATTCTTTCTCATGGAAAGTGTTGCCTGATCAAGCTAACCATGACACATGGGTTATGGCTTTAGACCATTTGTGTATTAGCTTCATTTTGACAAAAATCCTGGTTATCAGTTATCCTTGACTCTGGACATTAATTGGAATGCCCTACAAACTTTTGACTGTTCATCGATTAATTGTTGCGTGTCAAAGTACGGATTTAATCAAACGTTTCAAAATTATGCAAACAATTGGTACACGTATTATGAGAAAGACTTGGTAAGAAGAAACTTATTAAAAGCAAAATTGACGAAGAAGAAATGGAAGAATGCTTGGATCATTAATTCTTATGTTGACCATCCAACAATTTATTTTGGTGATTTGATTACTTAGGTATGATCTTGGTATTTTCAATTTAATGTGGTAAAATGTCATGAATAGCAAGTGCCACGTCAGCATTTTCTTATGTTAAGAAATGTCATGTTAGTACAAAATATTACGTGAACATGGAGAAATTTTAATGATATTAAAAATTAATAAATTAAAAGAGTATAAAAATTTAATTTATATATTATTGTACAGGATTGAACTCACAATTTGTTTTTATAAAGAATAGTCACTAATTGTTTAATTTAATGAAAAGAAATTGATAAACAAAATGGCATGTAAATGTAATTTTGGAGGAACAAAAATTATCCTTTATTTATTTCGAAGCGAAAAACTTTAGCCGGGTCGAGCTAAGTTGTGCAAGGATGCAGACCGGTTTAAACGACACCGAACTAAGCTCCGAAGTCCGAAGTACCCAAGCTGCGTAACAACTGGAGACGCACGACTCTTGTGTTCTGCCCTTCACTCATCTAATGCTGCGTGCTGGTAGACATGGAGGTCGCGATCTGTTCTCAAATCTCCTCAAAATCTCATCTTGCTCTGAGTGCTTTCTTCACGTTTCTCCATTTTGTTCAACGCCAAAAACCGTCACCAACTATCGCTCATCACTTACCCAGCAATTGCCTCAAGTTTCAGCTTCAAAAGCTGTAAGTTCTTCTGCTGCCTGTTCCATTGCTTCTTTGCTCGCTGCTCCGACCGTCCAATGTACAGATTTTGATGACTTGTTAAAGGATTATAAGGACAAGTTAAATTCAAAACTTGTGCTTCATATTCTGATGAATTATAAGCAGTTAGGTAGAGTTAAAACCTTGGAGTTCTTCTCTTGGGCTGGAACCCAAACGGGTTTCCAGTTTGATGACTGTGTCATTGAGTACATGGCTGATTTCTTGGGTAGGAGAAAGCTGTTTGATGATATCAAGTGTCTCCTGCTCACTATCTTGTCTCATAAGGGAGAGCTTTCATGCCGGGTTTTTTCAACTTGTATTAGGTTTTTGGGTAGGCAGGGGAGGGTTGCAGAAGCCCTTTCTCTGTTTCAAGAAATGGAAACTACATTTAGGTGTAAACCTGATAATATTGTCTGTAACAATATTCTCTACGTGCTTTGCAAGAAGGAGGCATCTGGGGAACTGATTGATGTTGCCCTCACTATTTTTCACAGGATTGATGTTCCCGATAGCTATTCATATAGTAATATTCTTGTTGGTTTATGTAAATTTGGTAGGCTTGAGACTGCCCTCCAGGTTTTTCACGAAATGCATAGAGCCGGTTTGGTCCCAACCAGGTCCGCAGTGAATGTACTTATTGGGCATTTGTGTTTGTTAAGTGCTAAGGAAGGAGCAATTGAGAAAGTTAGAGTGAAAAATGTTTCTAGACCATTTACAATTTTAGTTCCAAATGTGAGCTCAAAGAAGGGTGCTATAGAGCCTGCAGTTTCTGTGTTTTGGAAAGCTCATGATTCGGGTTTGTTACCTAGTGCTTTTGTTATAGTTCAGCTTCTGTCAGAGCTATGTAGATTGGAGAAGATGGAAGAAGCATATGAGATTCTAAAGGTTGTTGAGCAGAGAAAGATGAGTTGCTTGGAAGAGGGCTATTCTGTTCTTGTGCAAGCTTTCTGTGAACATAATTTGGTTGAGAAAGCTAGCTTTTTGTTTTGGAAAACACTATCCCTTGGCATGAAGCCAAAGTTGGTTGTTTATAACTCCATAATTTGCATGCTATGCAAAGCAGGAATTTTGGATGATGCTGAAAGGGTGTTCAAGATTATGCACAAAAAGAGATGTCTTCCTGATAATGTAACCTATAATGCTTTAGTCCATGCTTATTGTGAAGCAAGGAAGTGGAAAGCTGCTTACAGTTTGTTGACAGAAATGTTGGGCCTGGGTTTGACTCCAAATTTTCACACATTTACTTTGGTGGACAAACTTTCGAGGGAAAATGGGCAGGTGGATTTGTGTTTCAAATTGGAAGGTAAATTGGAAACACAGATCTTGCTCAAGCACTGTAAACTTGGTCAATTGGAAGCTGCTTATCAGAAACTGGACTCGATGATTGGAAAAGGTTTCCACCCACCAGTGTATGTATGTGATGCTTTCCAACAGGCATTTCAAAAGTATGGTAAGTTGAAAATAGCTCATGCATTGCTTGACAAGATGGATAAAGGTTGCAAGCGTGATGAGGAGAGAAAAAACTAAACGTTCTTAGTAAGCTATCAGCAGGCAGTAAGTTTTTAACTTTATTCTCTGTTATTTGAGATTCCAAAGGGCTGAATGAGGCTTGATTTAAGTTCTTGCAGTCCATTTGGTTGAAAAAAGAAAAGATCTTGAGTCCATGTGTCTCAATATTAAACTTTAACAAGCTCCTTTCTTAATCAGGTTCCGTCTTACCTTGCCAAGGGTCGGAGGGGAAATTCGGGGCAAACCTGACATGCTGCAAAGAATAACAAGGTGGATACCTCATTTTCTAATACCAAATGGGAACAAATTCTTAAGAATGTTTGCTTGTTAGCATTCAGTATCTAATAGAAAGAACTCATATTTTCTATTCTCTCTGTCGTTCAATGCAAGAACTTCTAGATGGAACTGCTCAAATTAAAATGGAGTCAAGTAGAATCATTGCATGGTTCTTGAAACATCAAGAGGATGCCTTTCTTGCACTGTTTGAAGCTATGTTGGATTTGATCAAGTTCTATGCTAATTGCTGGCCTGTTTCTGCACTTCGCAATTTATGGACAACCGTTGGTTGTTATTTATTGCTGTCCATGACATTATCATGTGCGACTTTGTTTTGGAAGAGATAGAAACAAGGGAGCAAGTTCGGTTGAACCACCGCAAGTTGGTTTGTTTAGACGTTCTGAGCAAAACAGATATGATCTTTCGGACTGGTAGACATATTGCTGCATCATAAATGATCTGAGCAAAACAGATATGATCTTTCTGTATAACCAACTTCTTGAAGATGAAGTGCCTGTTAGAGACCTTAGAGAACCAATAACTCTTCATCAGATAAACATGTTTGGGCTGTCTGTTTTGCAGAAAATAGAAAGTTTTTTCTGTTACCGAATTTAATATTGAAAAAGTGTATTAGAGAAAGAATTTGACTTGCCAGAAGTTGTAACCTTTTAATCTTTGCTTATACTATTTACTTGGAATAATTATTGCTTAATCTTGATAGCGCATCTTGCAATCAGCTGCCACTCTGATCTTAACCGGGATATAATGATAGTATATAATTGATGGAAGTAGTTTTTTGTTTTTGGATTCATTGAGAAAATCTGTCACAAATTATTACAGATTATTTTATGACTAGCCTTGCAACCATCCCTATGGGTAAAAGCTCTACACAGATTATTTATAGTTGAACTTGTAATCATCCATCCTGATACATTAGCTAGCAATGAGATAAACACCACTAATCTGTGTAGAGATAAATCATCCATCCTGATTTGCCCACCAAACACTAACCAAGCTTTAGATCCATGTACTCCCTGGTAGTTCCAGGCAATGTCCCTTGTGTGCTGCTGCAAGATCAAAGCAAAAAAGGGCGGAATCAGATACTGCAATCACTCAAATCATGTTGTGGACCTGGAGAAATTGTATGGTTTATGCCATTGCAGTATCTGTGATGCTAGATAAGTGGTAGCTTCATACCTCGACAATCAAGACGATCCTAGTAGTTTCTGTATGTCCTTCTGCGAGAGAGAAGTGCAACGAGGAACAATTAGCAGTAATTCTACATTTTTTTACTGGCGTCCGTCAAGTGATATGGAAAAAATAACAGAGCTCTAACCTCAATTTTGAGAGGTGATGTAGTTGGAGCATATCTCTCCACAACTTTCCCTTCTTTATCTACCAAAAACTTTGTGAAGTTCCACTTGATAGCATCTCCGAAATATCCACCCTTTACAGATTTTAGAAACTTGTAAAGAGGTGCTGAATTCTTTCCATTCACGTCAACCTACAATAGCCAGATGTCACATATTAGAAAACATAGGTATGCATTCATTTTCATGAATCTATTTGCTGCTTCTTTGTAGAGAAACTATAGTCTCAAAGGAAATGGAAAAATCCAGATTGTGTCAGAGTTGTATATAAATCAATCAGTGTACTTTTCATGCTGAGGAGGCATAGGGTGGGAGATAAGTGGGGAAAGCTACAACAAACTAACATTGCCAATTGTAATCAGAAACAGTAATTTTTTTTTCCCTAAAAACTACACTCCAACAACAAAATCAGAGAATACAACATTACCAAAGAATAAGTATTCATAACAGCAAGTGTCTACATATTTCTTACCTTATCAAAAATTGGGAATTCTGCTTTGAACATTGTGCATGCTACTTCCTGAATATGTTCATTGGTACCTGGTTCTTGTCCAGCAAACTGGTTGCAAGGAAATGCCAATATCTCAAATCCTGCCAGGACAATACACTCAAACATTTACAAGCTTCAAACCATTAGACAGACATTGGAAGGTCTCCAATTTATGAGAAGTAACAGACCTTGGTTTTTGTATTTTTCATACAACACATTGAGTTCCTTGTAGTTTGAGTGCGTTAAACCACTGCCAAAAGGGACAACAAGACATCGCAAAATGATGTTCAACATGAATAGTTAAAAGGTGTAAGTCATGGTTGAAGACAGAATAAGAAATTAGTTATGCTGAAAAATTAAGCCATGCAACTGATCAAGCAGATTACCATTTTGAAGCAACATTCACAATCAGAAGAACTTTCCCGCTGTATTCACTTAAACTTACATCATTTCCGCGAATGTCCTGCAGATTAATTTGGCAGCAGCAACATATTATTAAGTAGAAGTTTGAGTTTTTTTTTTTATTATTATTAAAATTAAACAGATATTGATGCATACGATGAACAGTCAATGTTGAAAGAGTGCATGATAGATAGATGCACACACAAAAGAAGCAAAAAAAAAAAAATTATCTCAAGAGTTATATGCTGTTTCCATTCAGAGTCCAATCAGAACACATTAGAAAAGAGGGTGCCCGCGGGAGGGAGATCAGATCATGCTGCGCATTTCCAGCTAAATCTGCAATAACTATGGGGTAAATGCTTGTACATGACTCGTGAACTGTATCAGTACCAACGAAACTAAGGAACAAAGAGCTCAAAGATGATGTAGAAAGGAACAACGCTTTGATATGAATGCAAATTTGAGAATTTCATTGTAAACCCAGAACAGAATTCAAAGGACTGCAAAATGCAATGATTGAAAAGTAGCTATCATCCCTTTCTTATTATTTAAAAAAACCACTGGGAAAGGAAGAAGAAGAGAAAGAATCCCACATCTAGTTTTCCTCATCAAAGGAAGTAATATCCAGCCAATTAACAAACTTTGTGGAAAGTAATTCAACTTTTAACGATAAAAAACAAATCTTTCTTTCTCATCTCATCCTTCAGCAAATCGACAGTGCCTACCCAAATTAATGAAGAAATAACTTTAAAGGAACAAACCAATACCTTGACAGTGAATTCATATACAGACTTGGGGGCGTTTTCTGCCATGTTTTGATGGGAAGAAGATGGGTAGATGTGAAAATACAGAAAGAAGCCAAAACCCAGAAATACAAGCGAAACCAAATTGGTAAACCTGAACCAGTGCATCATTGCATTCCCAAAGCTGACGACCTATATATAGCAAGTTTTTCAACCTTCCTTCTAGAGGATAAAGGGGGCGGATTTTTCAATGTCACGTAATTGATGGTGCATGCTGTCAAACTTGAATTTTCAGGTGTTGAAACTAAGTATTTATTTATTTAATAGAATTGTATTCATCCTTATTCCTAACTGAGCGATATAGGCGTGCCTGGCAGCTAAGATACCAAGCTAACCGACGACAGACGTAAGATGGTTTTGAGTTTTGACTCCTGGGGAATTCAGTCTTGTAAGGAATAGTTTGAGCAAAGGTTCCAACCTCCAACTGTTTCTACTGTTCGTTTTCTTTCAATTGTCATCACATCTTAAAGTTAAGAAACGCAGGTTCCACCATCATTCATTGATCAACCATGAAAATGATGTGCATACAACTTCATTTATTAAGGTTAAGAGAGGCAGAATATCAGGCACCATATCCTGACATGTGGATTGTGTTCACACCATCAAGTAATGAAGGAATCAAACCTATTCTTGTTGGTGTGATCCTGGATTTTGGTCAACTTCTTCATCCAATATTAAAATACGTACCAATCTGTTTTGCATTTGGCTTTTGTAAAGCAAATTTGTAACGGAAACAAAGGGATGAATTATTAGGGATTTAAATTATATTAAGATAACTCATATGCAGCGGAATATTATTAAAATTTTAATCTCTAAAGTCATGAATCACTTTAATTGAAAATAATTTAAAAAAATCACAAGAGAAATTTTGATATACTTAATAGTTTACTTTTTTCGATGGAGTCTTCATTGACTTTTGGTTTTAATTTTTGTACACCAACTAAGACTTATCAAATCATAGCAGCACAGTTGTCCTGCCTCTAATGATAATCCACACAGTAATTTGCTGAAATCTCTTCACTAAGAGTGTGTGAATCTCTAAGTTAAAATTTGTGCTAACAAACTCTCAATTTTTTGAACTCTGTTATGTTTCCCTCTTTTGACTGTGATCCTATCTCAACACATGAGAACGTAAAATATAACTCTTATCTATCTTTAAGAGGCGGTTAAGGGATTTTTTTATAGAGTGAATTGACCTACTTTATATCAAACAAGGATTATAAAATGTCTTGGCTAATTGGACTTTTATTTAAAACTCCATCAAATCATATTTGATTTAACTCAATACTTAATTGGATTAAGCCTTTATAAAATCAATTAGATCACATC